TAGAGAAGGGCTATGAATAAAGGACCAGATTTTATTTGATGAATCATATAGCATACGTTCAACCAAAGACCTTATGTCTTGGTGAAGAAAACAGTCTGGTGTGGTTGGATTGTGTGGGAGTGGAGGCGGGGTGGTGTTGCTTCCCACATTTACTTTTTTTTTTTTATACGGAAAAGTACACTAAAAGGATAATGTACAAAACGCATCAGGCAGTCGTAACTGTATCTGGAGGGAAGTGCCACAGTAGCATGTACCGTAGATTCCCTATATCGAGCCTGTGGTGGCCGATTAGTCATCTTCGGATTGTTCCAGACGGAACTGAAGCTGCTCCTCCACGTTAGCGGCGCCCCCTTGCTGCATATGCGTCTCATCACCTCCGTCTCGTCTGCTGCCAGGTAACCCCACGCCTTGCTTCCGTGCTGCCACTTGCTTTGCCAGGCAATACACCCTGGCGTGCGCAACAAACTTTACCACCGCCACGCGAACCACCTTCTTCGGCTGGAGCTTTACATCACGACGGCTTGCGTCACACCTTGCCAACCACACCTGGTAGAGTGTGCTCCCCTGCATGAAGAGAAGGTCCTCCAAATTCTGCCAGTTCAGCTGCGGGTTCATCTCAGCCAGCCCTTTCCGCAAGAACCGGACCACCCTTTGAATCGCCGGGCAGTTGAGCAGGCAGTGCTCCGGTGTCTCCTCTGCTTTGCAGTGTGGGCAGACCACTCTGTCCTTCATAAAGAAAAGCCGCTCCCCCACTTGTAGGTTTCTACAGTGCAGCCTCAACAGGATTTCTCGTGCCCGGGCAGGGGTGGCGATAGAGTCCCTCTGCCTGATGACCCTCTCCCACTCAATAACCCTACCATCACCGATCCACCTCCGCTGCTCCTTTACGACGCCTGCTGAAGTGACCAGCCCCTTCCTGATTACTTTCAGCGGTCGTAATTCTCCTTCATTGGTTAGCTTAGACTGTAGAAGCTTTGTTCGCGCCTCGCCCATAAACCCTAGCACCTTATCTCCCTGAGCTGCAACCGGCTCCCCGCTGTGCAGCCCGAAATTTACAGGGTATTTCTCGTCCCCGACTGTGAAGGTACCGTCAGCGCTTTCCCGACACACCACCCCCGTCACTCTGCCACTGTCGGCGCCGCTGACCTTCCAGAGCGTAGGGCGCGCAAAGATACTCCTCTGGTATCGCAGCAGCGGGACCTTAGCCGCTATCTCCTCGCTTGTCATCGTTTCCAGCAACATGTCTCTCCATTCGACCGGCGCCGCCATGAAAGCCTTCAGCGCCAATTTCGCCGCTGCTACACTGCCGAGCTCGCTCGCCAGAGTTTCCTCACTTTTTAGCTCCCGTGTGCCGTCCGCCCGGTGCCAGATCAGATCGCCCATTGTTAACCCCAGTAGCCGTGTCGAACCTTTTTGATTCCCGAACGGACTGGCCCCCCTGAAAGGTATACGCCTGTTAAACGCCAACTGCTCCCGCTCCACCTCCCAGCGATTACTTGGCTCCGGGGTGACGCAGAAGGGTGACTTCCAGAAAGCTTGCATCATATCCTTCCAGCACTCACTACCCTCCTTCCAGTGTCTCAGCAGGGACTGATGAGCGTAGATCGTGTCTGGTCCTAGAGGCATCACCGCCGCCTGCTCCGTCAGCCACTTCTTAACGGGGTTTGTTTGCAGCATCATGCGTCCGACATTCTGCACCGCTATGCTGTCGAAACGCTTCTTGGGGCATATCATCCCCAGCCCTCCCTCTTCCCGGGGTGTGCAGACCAGCTCGTAGTTCCAGAGGACGAAGACCTTTTCATCCGTCGCCTCCCCTCCCGACACAAAATGGTGACAGATCCGCTTGATTTTTGTCCAGATTTCCTCTGGCGGCGGGTATATGTACGCCTGAAACATGAAGATAGGCGATATGTACCCGTTGATTATCGTGACCCTTGCTGACGTCGTTAGATGCTGAATTTCCCATTTGGCTAACTCTTTTCGCGCCCTGTCCAAAGCTTTCTCCCAGGACGGGAGTGGGTCGCCGTTCGGAGTGATCCAAACACCTAGCAGTCTGTCCGGTGCCGCCTTGTCTGCCCATTTGAACTGCAGGTCTGCCGGCGGAGGCTTCCCCCTGTTTTCCCCAAGTGGAAAGATCACCGTCTTATCTTTGTTCACCTTCAGCCCCGATGCCTTCCCGAAATTTTCCAGTGCTTCAGCCGCTGCAGCCAGCTGCTCTTCCCCTTGCAGCAAGAGCGATGTGTCGTCGGCGTATCCCAGGTACGCCAGCTTCTTTGCATCTTCGTCTCCCACCCCCAGCTAGCGTTGCGCAATTTCTTGACAGAGCGGCTCTACCGCGCACAAGAAGAGGTACGGTGCTAGCGGACAGCCTTGTCGCACCCCTCTTTCCACCGCGACCCTGTCTCCTGTCCACCCGTTAGTGTGCAACCGTGTGCCTGCTCCTGTGTGCAAGCCCTCCGCCCAGGACACGAACTGCCCCGGAACCCCCATCCCTCGCAGCGTTCGGAAGAGGAAAGGCCTCGAGATGGAGTCAAAAGCCTTCTGAAAGTCAACCATCAGGAGGTACCAGTCCTTGCCGCCATTGGCACCCGCCTCGATAGCGTCCGCTACCACTGCAACGGCATCTGTCAGCTTCCGTCCAGGTAAAAAACCCGCTTGATCTTCCGAGATCACCTCAAGTAGAATTTTCTTTAACCTTGACGCCATTACTTTCGCTAACACCTTGTAAACCGTGCTTAGCAGCGTAATAGGCCTGTAATTCCCTAACTCCTCCTTGCTCCCCTTTTTGTGCAAGGGGAGCATATTCATATTACTGATAATATTCATATTAGACAACACAATTTCTGTTACACTTCCAACCTGCTGGTTACCAGCTCGCTACTCCCCTCCCCTCGCCTCTTCGTCACATTTGTTCGTTGTGCTGTCTTTCTCGCTGCTCTCGTTGCTATCAGCTCTGTTCCGCCAGCCACAACACAAGTCAGGTAAATCACTCCAGCAGACCTCCGCACCGCACTTTCACGTCAACGGAACTCAGGACGAGTCCGTTGAGGTTACCGGGGAGTCCAATCCCTTTCCTCATTGGCCGAGGATCTCAGCTTCCTTTATTCCTCTCCTTAGCCGCGGGAGTGGGTTCACTTTCACTTCGAAGCCGTTTCTCTTGGTTCACTCACCCCGTACGTTCAACGTTTCTCTTGAAGTTCAAGGAAGCTCAAATCGGTCATTTCAAGCCTAAGGCGTTGGGCGTAAGCGTAAGGGGTTCTGCCCTTAATTCGAAATTCGACGTTAGGTCGCTTCCTCGTCTTCACTCGCCGCTTCTGGTCCTAATTAGCCCCGTCGCGCATCTGCAACTTAAACACTCCACCATCTATAGCTCTCACCATTTGCGATTTTGGCCAAAGATTCTCGTCCGTTCTCACGAAACAACGGCCGGTTGACACCCATCGAGATGTCCGCGCGGAAGGTACGCTAACCTCAGTCACAATGCCTTTTGCTCTCCCATCCAATGCCTTTTGCTATCCCATCGAGAAATGCCTTTTCACGAAACAAAGGGCCGGTTGACACCCATCGAGATGTCCGCGCGGAAGGTACGCTAACCTCTTGCACAATGCCTTCTGCTCCCTCCCTCTCTCCATATGCCGTCCCTTCGTCCGTCCTCCACGCACATGCTCCGAATGCCAACCCTTGGGATAGGCTTCCACCTCTCTCCCTCACTCTCTGATGGAGAGAGGGGGGCGCTAGAAGGGACCTCTGAAAGACCTGCCTCTCTCTCCCTCACTCTCTGATGGTGAGGGAGAGGGGCGCCACACAGAACCTCTCTGAGACCAGACCCTTTCTCCCTCACTCACTTACATGCGCACACTCCCACACATTTGGACTCTTGAGGGACCTGCCTCTCTCTCTCCCGCTCTCTGATGGAAAAATTGGGGCGCAAGAAGGGGCCTTAGGAGGGTGTGGAGGCAGAGAAGGAGAAGGTGGTTTTGGACCCCTGAGGGACCCGCCTCTCTCTCCCTCACTTTCTGATGAAGAGAGAGGGGCGCCAGACAGAACCTCTCTGAGACCGACCCTTTTCTCCCTCACTCGCTCATGTGCGCACACTCACACACAAGTACACAAGGTGGAGAAGGACAAGGATGTTCCAAACAAAAGAGAAAGAAGTTGGTGCTGTGCTCGGGCTGCCAGGGCAGTGGAAAGAAATACTAAAAGGGACCCCTGAGAAAATATTTCTTTCCTTCCCCCACTCACGTGCCTGCATGTGCGCTTTCACACGCGCAGACACAGAAGGACAAGGAGGCTGCGAAGCCAAAGAAGGAGAAGGTGGTGTTGTCCTGCCGGGACAGCTGAGAGAATCACCAGAGGCAGAACGAGGACCTGTCCTTTTCTCCCTCACTCAGTCACTCTCCTGCATGTGCTCCCTCACACCCGCAGACACAGAAGGACAAGGAGGCTGCGAAGCCAAAGAAGGAGAAGGTGGTGTTTGACCTGCTGGGACAGCTGAGAGAATCACCAGAGGCAGAACGAGGACCTGTCCTTTTCTCCCTCACTCAGTCACTCTCCTGCATGTGCTCCCTCACACTCACAGACACAGAAGGACAAGGAGGCTGCAAAGCCAAAGAAAGGGAAGGTGGTGTTTGACCTGCGTTGGCAACTGAGAGAGTCACCAGAGACAGAACCAGGTCCTGTCGTTCTCTCCCTCGCTCGCTTTCCTACATGTGCTCCCTCACACGCGCAGACACAGAAGGACAAGGAGGCTGCGGATCCAGAGAAGGAGAAAGTGTTGTATGACCTTCTGGAACGAGCGAGAGAGGAACCATGAGAAAACTTATCTTCCCCTCCCTCACTCACTCACTCACTCACTTTCCTGCACATGCACTCCCACACGCGCAGACACAGAAGGACAAGGAGGCTGTGAAGCCAAAGAAGGAGAAGGTGGTGTTTGACCTGCCGGGGCAGCTGAGGGAGGTGCCAGAGAGAGAAGGCACCCCTGAAAACACCTTTCGTACATGTGCTCCCTCACATGCTCACAGACACAGAAGGACAAGGAGGCTGTGAAGCCAAAGAAGGAGAAGGTGGTGTTTGACCTGCCGGGGCAGCTGAGGGAGGCGCCAGAGGAGGTGAGGAAAGGAAAGTTTTAAGGAAGTGAGGTTTGGGAGCCAAGGAGGACAGGGGGGAGAGCATGAGTAGGTCAGGCGGAAAAATTGGAGAAGGTAAGTGCGCAGGCAGGCGCCCTTATACAAAGTGATTTATCTTCTGTCAGTGAAGAGTCCTCCTGGCCTCTCCCCTCATCCTTGCATCATCTGTCCCCTTTCCTTTCCCCTTGTGCCCTTCCCAAACCGTCGTTCTCTGCCTCTTCTATTCCCTCCATCCTCCCTGCCTTTCTCTTGCCCTTCTTTCTTGGACGGCAGAATGAGCCTCTTCGCATCTTCTATGAGAGCCTATACAACCAGCTGCCAGACAGCGAGTTTTGAGACGTCTCAGAACTTCCCAAACCCCATCATTCTCTGCCTCGTCTACTCCCTCCGTCCTCCCTGCCCTTCTCTTGCCTTTCTTTCCCGGACCACAGAATGAGCCACTTCGCATCTTCTATGAGAGCCTATACAACCAGCTGCCAGACAGCGAGATGGCACAAATATGGTACTTTTTTCATTCCAATTCACTGCCAATGCTTATTTGATGCTTTTCTTTCCCGTGGATTAGTTTCTCAGATAATGTGCCTTCTTTTTTTTATTGTCTGTTCACAATTCTAGGATGTTATGGTTGCATTGTCAAGCTCCACCTATTCTCCTTCAGAGTGGAGTAACTCTATTGAAGTAGCCAAACAACATGCTTTCTATTTCTTTGCTTGAGCTGTTCGTGCTGAAGCCGCCAACCCTCACTACAATGGGTTTTTGCTGTGAGAAATGGCTCTCCTTCCAGCTGAGATGCATGCAAAAAAAAAAAAAAAACTTCTCAGTGTCCCCCCTTCAGTTCCGATCTCTTTGTCGCGTTACTGTGTAACTCCTGTCAGTTGTGAACTCCTCACAGATTTATGGAGCACGGGTTGCTGACATCAGCAGGGAAACAGCAACAGCAAACCCTGCCACTGTGTGGCTCGTTGGTTGGACCCCATCATTCACTGCCTTTCTCGTGTGAACCCCTTGCAGGATGATGGAGCATGGTTTGTTGGATGAGGATGAAGCGAGGCGAGTGCTGGTTATCAAGCAGAGGAGAGGAAGCGGCCGATCAGCACCTGCAGCTAGCCCTGCCTCTGCCAGAGCAGCCACTGCTGTCCGGGCCTCTTCGGCTGCTGCTTCGGCAGCTGCCTCTCGAGCCTCGGCCACTGCCGTCGGCAGCCGATCCGGTTCGGCAGCAGGAGGCAAGGCTTCAGGTTCGGCGGCGAAAGTAGAACCAAGTGGGGGAGGGAGGAGTGTTGGGCCAAGCAGCAATGGGACTGCGAGAGCGGGAGTCAAGACCCCGACATCTGGAGGGCGCAAGGCAGCAGTGAAGTCATACAAAGATGAAAGTGAATCGGAAGAGGAAATAATTCCTTTGAAAAAATTGCGGCGATGACTTTGAAGCAGTAAGTGGTGCATCAAAGATTTGATTGAACCGGTTGGGCCACAACAAGTGCCTTGTTGGAGCATGTTGTATTTCTTCTACAGTAACCATGTTTGGGGTTTGAAGTTACTTGTCATCTAATGTCAGATATTGGCAAGAAATTCTTGAAGCAAAAGAAATAACTAGCAAACACTCCGAAGAAGACCCTCTAGAAGCAGCAGATGAAGGTCCAAATTTGAGGAGAAGGGAAGGGAAGGTTTGTGCCAATCTTCTTACAGTACTTGTAGTTGGAGAGGAGCGTTCGTCTAGCTTAAAAAACGATTGTAAACTGTTAAGGTGTAGTTTGTTTTTCTTGTACCTGAATGATTCGCCCAATAAACAAGTGATGTTTGAATCATCGCGCGGCAATCTCAAGAGCGCCAACCGAAGCTCCCCAGCCTTCCCAACAGAAGCCTGAAAAACAGCAGTCACGACTCACGAACACCTGTCATTGCCAATTTTGGGATACACCATCTCACAACATGACGATGCATTTCAGCCTGCTCGTTCTGACGTTCTGTCTCTTCGTTGCACATCATGGACGCTGTTATGCGTTCCTTCCAGGTTTACACCCGCACACTTTCAGGTATGTTTGAGTCATTGACATCGTGATGCATTTGATGACGAGGAAACCAGTTTTTGTACTGACTAATTTCGACATTTGCCAGAGAAAACGACACGCTGCCAATCGGCATTGTTCCATTGTCTGATTCGGTGTCGGGAGCACCAGACTTCTACGACTTGCCGTTTTGTCAGGACACAACTCTCTGGAGAGATCAGCCTCAGTACCTGACAGACGTCTTACTAAACACACAGCTGCTTCCCACTCCATATGGTATTAAAGTCCTCACCAACGTGACTTGCCGGTTCTTGTGTCTTGTTCCGAATTTTGCCAATCAAGGTAAATCGTCGAGACTCTTCACAAAGCTGGTTACTTCGAAGAAGCGGCCGCTCGCTAAACTGCGCGCCGACAGCCTTACCGTATTGCACACGGAAAGCCACGGAGATAAAGCAGATGGCTATGCTCTTGGGAATCACGACGCGGATGATTTCTACGTGACAAACCATGTGCGTTCACGGCCATGCAATTCGAGCTTCTAACCCAGCCGCAACATGCAGTTTTTGCTAATTCTTCAATCCGTGCAGGTCACGTTTCTGATTCATTATAACGACTGGATCGATGGCGCCGGAGAGCGCGAGGTACGGATATCATCTGTTCAAATGCAGCCACGCTCTTCAGGCATTGCACCAAAGAGAATTGGCGAATGCGAATCCGAGCCTCATCCTCAGAAGGCCTCGGGTACTTTTCTCATAAGCGCAGTCCTTTCAACCCCGTAACTCCATTCTGATAACATAAATTGACGTTCAGGTGACGTCATGTTCACCTACTCGGTTTACTGGATAAGGTCAACAAACCCGTGGCCCTCCAGATGGGACCACTTACGAGTTGGGTTGGGGATCAGCTTTTGGGAAGCAGTCGTCTGGATAGTCGTTGCGTGTGCACCAGCGGTATTTTTTTACGTTTTGTGCAAGTTCCTACTCCGCCAGATTGAGTCCAGCCACCGAACCAAGGCTTTTCTATGGGAGCCATTGAAAGAGCACACGAATCAAGTGGAGCATGAAAGAATTGACCTGCTTTCCTCACTGGTAAGTAGCTGGTTTCCCAATCACCAGAAATTATCTGCTTGGTCCATTTCTTTCTCAATTCTATTGTTTCACAGGTTGGATCTGGCATCCAATTACTTGCTGCTGCATTTGTGACAACTTTAGCAGCTGTGCATGGTCTGAGAGATCCAGCTGCTCGGGTAGCAATGATGCAGCTGTCCTTCTACTCGTTTGTTGGACTGGGTGCACTTAACGGTTACATATCTACAAAGATCTTGAGCTCCTTCAGGTCTTCAAACATCATGGGGCCTGTGCTGCTGTCGTCATTACTCCCTTCGACTCTTGTGCAAGGGCTTCTGCTTCTGCTGAACTGGATACTTCATGTTGGAGGATACCCACATGCTATTCCTCTGGCCACCTCACTGTCAATCTATCTCTGGGCGCTTTCGATTTGCTCCATGACTGTCTACATGGGCTCTTTGTTTGGAAGCTTTACATCTCGAACAGACACCCAGCCGCTTTTCTTCTCTAGTGGCATGCATCATGAGCGGGATTCGTGGGAGTTGCCCAAGATTGGATTTAGGTTTGGAGGAGGTCTCTTGGTGTCCGGTGCTGTGGGAGCTACTTTGTTTTACCACTCAACACGACTTTCTCACCAGTAAGTACACTCTGTAGTTGATTCAAGTGTTTCCTGCAAGTCTGGGATCCGGGCTGGTAAGATGAACTTCTCTACATTTGTAATTTTCAGGTTATCATATCCTTCCTTGCTGCTTGCGTTTGGTGGCTTCATCGTCATCTCTGGGTGTATATCTATCCTTTCAACCTACTTCCACCATTTATGTGGGAATACGAAGTGGTGAGCACTGTTGGTTCTTTCGTCGGGCATAATTCCTTGCCCGCAGTTATGAATTGTGATCAAATGTTTTTTGTGCAGGTGGTGGGAAAGCTTCTTTGTCCCATCATTCTCATCACTTTTCTTTGTTGGTGCTGGTTGTGCACTTGCCACACTTTTTCTCTGGAGTGGGCAAGGGCATGCGGCATTGATTCTGGCAGCTTACTCACTACTGGGTGCAAGTGTAAGAGCGTATTCCTATCCTCGTATCAAGAAAACCTCATATCAACCTCCCACTGAAAATTCCCCTAAACCCAAAACCTCTCGCTACTTTTACCAGGCAAAAAGTACAATCTTGATATGAGGTTTTCTTGATACGAGGATAGGAATACGCTCTAAGTGGAAAATACCACGACCTATATCATGTTCGTATGCAGCATTGCATTATGTGATCCAACTTATGACTTTGCAGGTCGTGGCTCTCGCTGCTGGGGCTATTGGATTTCTTGCAAGTTGGCTTTTGGCATCCATGGTGTCTGGCCACCGTGTGAAGATGGATGGCAGATCCAGCCTCTAGGAGATGACATGCTTTTGCACCATGTGTGGTGCCTACATGTGATATTGTTCTGCCTTGTGATGTGACCTAAATAGAGTAATTATATTTGACTTTGGCTACAACTTCATTAAAACTCAGCACTGGGAGCACGGAAGATACTTAAAAGCGGGGGGCCAAAACCATCCTGGGCCAGACGTGTATTGCAAGTGCGTTTTTTATTGCAGAATTGTGTAAGGCTTCAAATTGTTCAGAAAATGCTCCAGAGATTGGGTGTCTCTATTACATATTCACATCATTGAGGCAGAGCTTTTCGCTTTTTAGGTCTTGCAGTAGGATCTTGCCGATTTCCACCAGGAGATGCAGTGCCAGACTGTGGTGCACCAGCAGCTCCATGTGTACCCACCCTTCCCCCAGTCCCTCCAGCAACACCACCCCCACCCCCTCCTGGTCTCTGCCCAGGGCTGCTGGGAGGTGGGCGACGGGCACCAGGCTTCCCACCACCCTGTTGAGAACCAGTGGGATTACGAGAGGATGACCCTGGTGCTAAGGGAGGTGTGCGGCCACCGTGCGCTGCTGCTTTTCCGGATCCGCCCGAACCTGCTGCTGCCGAACCAGATCCCGAGCCTGGTGTAGGAGGCTTGGTGTGAGGTGCAGCCCCGGAAGAATGAGCAGCAGTGGGAAGGGGAGGCAACGGCGAGGCAGGAGGAAGGGGGGGCGTGGAGGCATGACGAGACGAGGCACCAACAGGGGTTCCTGGGGCAGCGGAGACAGCATTAGCCGTAGCAGTTGCACCATCATTAGTTGCTGTTGTACCTGCTGCAGTGCCGGAACTTCCAGCTGTACCACCTCTGGTAGCACCTGTACCAGCAGCAGTGGCAACACCTTGAGAAGGCGGACCCCCTGTGCTTGTCTCTGTGTCCGTCTCTCCTTCTCCTGCTGCTTGTAGCTGCCTCTGCTGATGCATCATCTTCAGCCGGTTATTCCGGTAATGCTGCCAGAAGTAGAACTGCTGTCCGTGGGCTAGCTCCTGAAGAACACATGCAAAGGTAGGGGAGAAAACGAAATGACAAGAAAGCAGGTCTGGGGAGCACGAGGACGAGCAAGATACTAGAAGGAAGGAACACAACTGCACTACCAACCATATTGCACAAAAGGAGAGAACGGGATATATGCCATGCAGTGTGGAAGCACTCACGTTCCCTTCATTATCCATGCCACTAATGGCTAATGTAAAGAAACAAAACGAGTAAGGCTTTGAAACATACCTTGTTGGCAGGATGTGCCATGGCAGTGCGGAAGTGTTCACTTTGAAGCAGCTCAAGGAAGTAGAGACAGTGGGGATAACTGTTGGCCCGAGCCCATTCCGTGCCCATGACACCCATGTCAACGCCATACATAGATATGTAGCAAATTTCCATGCCATGAAATGACACCCATATCTCCCCACGCAATTACATTTCAGGCCATGCATCCCAAAGGTATGACGGAAGGAGGGAAGGAGAGAAGGAGGGAAGGAGGGAAGGAAGGAAGGAAGGAAGGAAGGAAGGAAGGAAGGAAGGAAGGAAGGAAGGAAGGAAGGAAGGAAGGAAGGAAGGAAGGAAGGAAGGGTGATGGTCACATCTTGAAAGAGTGTAGTGAACGCAATGGAGTGTGAAAAATCCACGCAATGGAAACGCACCAGATTGTCAAAGCAGGACCAAATTGTACAACTTACATGTGCACAGTGAACATACGGAATGCGCAAATGGGTTTGGGGCGTACACTACAAAAGTTGAATACGGGGGGTTCCGCCAGTACTGCAGGTAGTGTATATAATTGACAAATGCTGGATCTTCAAAATGTTTGTTCTGTGCTAGGTCTGAAAAAAGGATGGCGCGATTTTTTAAGGGGCAGGACAAGGATGATAAGAGGGATGGGTGAATCTTATGTAAAAGAAATGCACAATATAACAGCAAACAGGCATGGAAGGGTTACAAGATGACTAAGAGTTGGAATAAGGTCGAATAGGATGGAATGGAATGGGATGGGCTGGAATTGGGTGGCTTGGGATGAGATGTGTTGGGGTTGGATGGGTTGGGGTGGGCAGGATGAGAGAAGATGGTTCAGTTGACTGGCTCGTAGCAAACGGACGAATAGCATGTGGAATCAACAAATCCAGTAGAGACTCCGACGAAAAGAGTAGAACACAAAACACAGGAGGCTCACAATAAACCAAAGCACGTGGTATGGCCGAGCGGGGTGAGGGGAGATTAGACGAGAGGGGAGATGGGAGAGGGGGAAGGGGAGAGGGGGGGAGGGGTAAGGGAAGATGGGGAGAGGGGGGAAGGTGGGGTAGAGGGAGGGAGGTGCTGGGCGGGGGGAGGCGGGGTGATGTGGGGAAACATGGACATGACACCGGACACAACTTTTGAGGCGCCTCAAAAGGACTTATGAGGAGCCTCAAAAGGACCTTTGAGGCGTCTCATAAGGCGGGGGGAGGCGGGCGGGGTGGTGTGGGTGGGGCAATATGGACATGACACCGGACACAACTTCTGAGGCGCCTCAAGAGGAACTTTGAGGCGCCTCAAAAGGCGGGGGGAGGCAGGGTGGTGTGGAGCGACATGGACATGACATCGCACATAGCGAAACCTTGGCCTGTGTGGCATGGCATCGCTTGCTGTCAATGTCATGCCATGATATGGTGGCACGGAGTTGCACAATGCTTTGGAGGCATGGCACTGCATGGCATGGCATAGCACAGCATGTCAAGGCATAGCACGGCATGCCATGGCATAGCACGGGATGCCATGGCATAGCACGGCATGCCATGGCATAGCACGGCATGCCATGGCATAGCACGGCATGCCATGGCATAGCACGGCATGCCATGGCATAGCACAGCATTTTAATGAAACACTACCGCATGCCACCACATGCCATAAACCCGCAAGCAGAGCAACCGCGCCCCTTGAAACAATAAATTTTCTGCGATCGTGTGTTTGAAAAAGCCTGTCGGTGCGTTGGCGCTGCAAGTTGGCTTTTGAGTCGACCCAAAGGTCACTCCAGTTCTCCAATCATGGGCTTTCAAAAATCCTGGTGGTCCGTTGGAGCTGCAACATTTAACTTGCGAGCCCGCTTCCATTGCAATGATGGACGTTGACCTCGGTCAACGCTCACGTCAACACGTGGCGTTGACTTTGGTCAACACCCTGATTGACCTTGTTTGACTCACAGTGAATGTAGTTCGGATTCGCCAGGCATTGAACGAATTCGAGCTCCACTAGAAACCGATGCCTGCCGCCGTCCGTCTCCTTCAAGATGTAATCCCCGCCGTCCATCTCGAACGTCTTCTCTAGGACGTGAAAGAACTTTGCAAACCCTAAATATGATTCCAACAGTCCTGACGGAAGCGCATAATGTACACACGTTAATAGCGGATTGAAGATTCGACGTCGATTAGTAGCGAGGTTGGACAGTCGAATCGGCGAACCGCGCAATGCTACGGTGCAGGATTAGGATCACTGGGCCAAGCAGTGGCGATTAGTTGGAAGCCTGAATTACTACTTCCAGGCCGATATCTATTTTTCAGGTGCATAAAAAACAAACTGTAACCCAATATCACCTCTTTGAATCTCGCGGCCACTCGAAGAATGTGCTGAAAACCGCTTGTCATCGCACCAAATATTTTTTGAATCCATACAGAGCTTATACCATCTTTTCTTGTAAAGAATGAGAGTTTGAATTACTTTAGAGCCTTGAATATTGTGGAAATGGCTGACTGCAGGTCTGCATATTGCTTGTTTCAACACCATTATATGATTTTTTGGTGCACTTGTTATATGAAATTCTAAGCAGCATAGTCCATTCTCTTTCCCTAGCTTGTGTAACAGCGGAGAGTTGCGAAGTATTACGATTTTATATTGTCACCCATCTTTCTCTTTGTCGAAACTCCAGCTTCGACCTGACAAGCCTGATGGCACGAACGATGTGTACCTTGAGTTGAGTCGCGAAAATGCGTCGTGGCCACCCACACTCTTTCGGTTAGCGAAGTGGTCCGACGTGTTCTTCGTGTTTCGCGCACGCCCGTGGTGTCCGCCGTGTGACGCTGGCGAACAGGTTTGGACCAACGTGCTCGGTGCGCGCCGCGGATGTTGAGCACCCTTGCGCGACTCGATAAGGTTATTGCATGTTCGACATTCTCGACTTTTCAACATCTCGACTGCAATTCCTGCTGAACAGTGATGGTGGTGGGCCGACAGTCATGCCTCAATGGTGCAGCCCCCCAGACTTCCCCTTGCCAAGACGAACTTTTGCACGTCATACAACGCACGCTGCTTCTACCACACCTCATCTCTCCTACTTCTCACCATTTTGGTCTAGAGTCGATGCGCGCAATCATTCGTCGTGTAGGCCTTGAAGCCAGCTGGGAGAATACGGCTGACTCACGACGAGTCATTCATGACTGCCTGCATTTGTCCCACGCCCAGGCTGCTAGGATAGAGAAGCATAAGACGACGGTAGCACCTGCTCGCCCACGCATTAAAAATATTAGCACCCCCACCGAATGCCAGCTTTTCTCCGTGCAGGTCCTGAGGGCGGCGCGAGAAATGCAAGATAAATGAGAACGCAAAATGTTGATCCGCGAAGAGTAATTAGAGTCGGCGAATATTCTTGCAGGTAAGCCGGTCAGGCTAGTAGGGGTAGACGCGTACTCAGTGTGTCCGATCCCACGAACCCTACTCTTTCTTCCAACTGAAGCGTGCCATTTTGCGCCTTCCGAGTCCTTCGACCTTCAGCAAACATTCGCGCCCTCTTCTTGCGTATGCTCGTAACCGTCCCATAGTTTACTGAATCAAGTGAATAGTTTCAACGGGCAATAGCCATGCCGGTCATCTCTGCTACTCGAAGTTGACGCGCTAGCTGCTTCTGCTTATCCTCCTAGCTCCTGCACTGCTCGAACACTATTCACAATCTTAATACTGGAAGTCGACGCGCCAGCAGCTTCCGTTCTTCTTCCTAGCAACCGCACTGAGGATGCCATTGAGACGTCTCATTACTCAAAAGTTCGGCGCGCTAGCTGCTTCCGCTCCTCCTCCTAGCACCGGCACTGTAAGAATGCTTGTAAGAAGCCGTAGCTCATAGCCACCCAAAGGCAAGGGGCTCTCAACCTGTTCAAACCGCTCCGTTTTAACGCCGCACGCCGCACACGCCGCAATCACTCCGGTGCTATTTCGACACGACTTGTACACTCGATGTGAGGGAAGAAGAGCGGGCTTTACATCAGAAAGCGCGCGGGCACGTGCGGGCGCGTCCGCGCGCGTGAGGGCGCGTGAGGAGCACGTTCTTCATAGCTGTCTAGCCGGCGCTTCGTTCTAAAGCGATTCACAACCAGTGTTTTGTTTCAAATCGCCTAAGAAACGCTAGTGCTCCGTCGTGCGACACCCACTATTCCCCTAATATACCATTATCTCCGCATTGATAGACGGGTACTGTTTTGCACGTCAAATCACACTTCGACACGTGTCGTCGCGGGGTCACCATGGCGCAAGCTTCGTCTAGCTCGTTCTTCCATCTTGCGTCCACTCCGATACCGCCACGTATCGTTCTCTGCCTACTTTTGCTATCCTCCGCTGCCGGCGCCGTAGCCGGCCGGCACCGCGGTTTCGGTTCTCTAGTCAGCGAGAGCGGCGCGGCTTCGGTATTGCCAGCAACGGCGGCGGCGGCGACGGCGGAAGCTGCAACGGCGGAAGCTGCGGCGGCAGCGGCGGCAGCGCCGACACCCACGGCGACGGCGGAGAAACTGCTGCCATCCCGCGGGGTTTCCGCGGGAAGTCCGCGGGCCGTCGCGGGTTCAGCTGAGCACGGTTCGCCGGTGGAGGCGACAGCGGCAGCGGCAGCGGCGGCGGCGGCGGCGTCGGCGGCAGAGGAAGAAGTGCATCGCGCGCTGTCCCACGTGCCTGCGAAAGGCTTCGCCGTGTTTCGACAGCTGCTCGACGAGCGATACGGTTCGTACAAATCCCACACTTTGCCCTTTCCCCCAAGTCCCCCCCCCCCTATTCTCCATCCCCCCTGCCTGCTTCCTCCCGCTTTTCCCCATACCCCCCCTGTTCCCCCTATTCCCGTCCCTCCTACCAACTTCCTCCCCCTATTCCCCGGGCTGCCCAACCGCACTGGGGGGCTTTGAGTCGATTCGCAAGTCGCTTCGGGGTCAAGGGGGTGGTCAGCAGCACTGCGCACACCAACGACTATCTAGTGCTCCTCGCTCCCTCCCGCACTCCCACTCCCCCACCCCCACACTCTCCCCACGGGACTTGGAGTCGACTCGCCTGTCGCTCCGGAGTCAAAGGGGTGGTCAGCAGCACTGCGCACACGAACTATCTAATGCTCCTCGCTCTCTCCCGCACTCCCACTCCCCCACCCCCACACCACCATGGGACTTGGAGTCGACTCGCAAGTCGCTCCGGGGTCAAAGGGGTGGTCAGCAGCACTGCGCACAGCAACTACTATCGAGTGGTTCTGACACGTTTCGAAAGAGTTTTGAGACGTTTCAAAACTCAGCAGCACTGCGCGCACCAACTACCGAGTGTTCCAGTGTTCCTTGCTCGCTCCCACTCTTCCCCCTCCCCCCTCTCCCCTCCTCCCCTCTCTCCCCACTCTTCCCTCTCTCCCCTCCCCGCCACACTTTTTCCCACAACATTGTCTGCGAGTGTCCCCAAAGCCCTCTCTTCCCTCCCCCGCCCCTCATTCCTTCCCCCTTTTTACCCCCCACCTCTTGCAGACGAGATTGCATCCGCGTTAGTGGCGCCGCTACTAGCGGGGCAGCCAATCACGCTGCTCGTGCCGACCGACGGGTGTTTCCACCCTTCCGCGCAAGCCAAACTCGCTGCTACAGCTACAGCTGCTACAGCTGCTACTGCTGCTACAGCTGAACACTCTACCAGCCGCCGTACATACGCTCCATCGCGGGAGGGTCGTAGCCTATCAGAAGCGGCAAAGGACGAGCGGCCCATGGGGCACGAGGATGACGTGGACGACGAGGATAAGATCAGTGTCGTGGCAGGAAAGGGTGACGTGGCAGGAACCAGAGAAGTAGCGGATTTCCTGTCGGAGCATCTGATGTCGGGCGCGCATTGCCACGAGGCGATGAGAACGGCCAAGGGAAGCTGGAAGGTGAGAAACTGACTTGAAGGTTTCAGGATTGAGGGGGTATAGCTGGGGCTTTAACTGGGGCAGCGACGGGCGCATCTGATGGCGGGCGCGGCGATGAGAACGGCTAAGGGTAGCTGGAAGGTGAGAGAATGAGGCGGGTTTGATGGGCTTTAAGTGGTAGAGAAGAGCGCACGTTGCCACGAGGCGATGAGAGCGGCCAAGGGGAGCTGGAAGGTGAGAAACTGACTTGAAGGTTTCAGGGTTGAAGGGGTATAGCTGGGGCTTTAACTGGGGCAGGGGCGGGCGCATCTGATGGCAGGCGCGATTGCCACGAGGGGGGATGAGAGCGGCCATGGGAAGCTGGAAGGTGAGAGAATGAGGTGGGATTATAACGGGTGGGCGAGAAAGAAGGGAAGCTGGAAGGTGAGAGAATGAGGTGGGATTATAACGGGTGGGCGAGAAAGAAGGGAAGCTGGAAGGTGAGAGAATGAGGTGGGATTATAACGGGTGGGCGAGAAAGAAGGGAAGCTGGAAGGTGAGAGAATGGAGTGTGAGATACATATGCAAGTTGGGGAACAGGCAGGGAAGGTTGGGCGGGTCTAATGGGATATGCGTTGCCATGCAAAGATGAGAATTGCTCAGGAAAGGTGGAAGGGCAAAGGTTTTGGAAGAGGCGTCATTTAGAAAGTTACATCTTCTCTTTCTGTTGTGTGCTGACCTTTGTTTCCTGCTGCAGGTGCCGACGCTGCATGGTGGTAACCACGTGACACGCACCACGCCTCCCAACGATCAAAGCCCTCTGGTGCTGATTCACAAGCAAGGGCGCATACATGACGATACAGATTCATATACGGATGTCAATGTGCATGTACACGTGCATGGGCACATGCGTGCTCACATGGAAGGAAAGCACAAGCAGCATCAATGGAAGCAAGATGGTATCGGCTTTACCCACAGCAGCAGCAGCAGCAGCAACGAGGCCATTCCACAGGTTGCTACTAACAGTGTTGCTGCTGCTCCAGCTGTTGCAACTGGTTCTGCTGATCTTGCTGCTGGTGATACTGCTGCTGCCAATGCTGCAACTGAGATGACCTTCTCGAGTGACGTTTCACCTGGTCGACAAGCAACTGGTCGATTCGAGTGGAGTGTAGTTACTGTCCCTGATATTTACGTCAGCAAAGGGATCGTGCTACATGGGGTACAACATCAGTGACTGGCCACATACAGCTAACAAGCTGATACTTATAATAGGCACTAAGGAGAAATACTACAGATAAGGTAATGGTAATAATACGGTAGTAGAAGGTTCCCTGCTTAGTATGTTGTACTATTGATTGTATTATACCTTTACCAGCAGTTGTCATCATAGTACAGTTTCCTCTAGGGACATGTACACTCAGTCAGGCTCAGAATGGCCATCCTTCACTCCTTTGCCCCAACAAAGGAATCCTCGTTAGCTCTTTCAAATGATGCAACATCAGTTTCCGACGAATTTTTTTCTGATTGAAGCTACAACTCACTGAGAACTGTAGGCCAACAACACCAATCCCCAGTGGTTGGATCTCAAAACGATTTCCTTTGTTCTGTGATTTGCAACATACGGTAATCCATCCTTGTTTTCTTTTCACAGCTGTTTCGCCTAGGAAATGCTGCATTTCAACTCAACGCATAATGCTGCTGTTGGCTCAATCCCATCCATCACGGACCACGGTGTTTTTTTTTACGGTACATTTGAGAAGGTCCTTGTTCCCAGAAAAAAAAAAGTGTACTGAGAAGTGTACTGAGCACCACATGAAGGTAAGTTCCCATTCCTCGTCCAACCCTTCATGGCTTTTTTATCTTGGAAAAGGTCCCTGTTTCCGAGAAATAGGTGCTCTGAGTGCCGCTCCCCAGGTGAGACATCTGTGCCGCTTGCGGGTTGGTCAGCTCTATACCCTGTGGTGGGAACAGCAATAAGGGGGATGGAATTGACACAAAATTGATGAAACACCCAAGAGAAATAGGTTCTCTGCATGCCACTTCCCAGGTGAGACGTGTGCTGCTTGTAGGCTAGTCAGCCTATGCCCTGTGGTGGGGACAGCAATAAGGGGGATGTCATGGAATGGGATAGGACGGGATGGGAGGAGGGGCCAATATAAGGCGAGGCATACAGTTGTTGGACACTTGAAACAGGACACGAGTGCAGTTAAGTTAAGCACTTACGGCCAAGCAACAACAAATGACTCAACTGATGGCCAAATCGAATCTGCCTGGAGTATCCACAGCATAAAGTTATCCTACAGCAAACTGAGGTGACTTTTGAGTCGACTCAAAAGTGACCAACGCAAACCCGCTTGCAGTGCAGCAGACACCCTCTCTCCAGCATACCACTCGATTGATTGTAGGAGTGAGAGGGCTGAACTCAAACAAACACAAACCACTGATTCTCGGGACGTGAAGCGCCTGCAAGTCAGCAACAACACACATCAACAGCCCTCTCACGTCTCCTTGTTTGTGTCTCACGTCTGCTGACTTGCAGGCGCTTCACGTCTCCTTGAATCGAGTTTGTTGATTCTCGGGACGTGAAGCGCCTGCAAGTCAGCAACAAGACACATCAACACTCCACCGTACCTGGATGGGCGTGAAGGCGAGACTCGAAGAGAGACCCGACGTGTTGCCACTGCTGCCGTAGCTACGCTCCTTGAATCTGCGAATGGACGAAACGGAACGAAGTGGAAATGAATCAGTAGATGTGAGTGGGGAACGGCTCATGTGTTGGCACCTGCTGCCTCTTGGTCTTGCCACTGCAGCTGTAATTGCGCTGTTTGAACCTGAGGACGGATGTGTTGGGAATGAATAAAGTGGAATAGCACTAGTGGAATTGAGTGAGCGATGGATCATATGTTGCCACTGCTGCCGTAGGTACGCTCTTTGAACCTGAGAAAGAACGTCAATGGATCAGAGTTGAAAAGCATTAGTGAACTTCAGAGGGCATATCTCATGTGTTGCTGCTTTTGCCACTACTGTCGTGACTACGCTTCTACATGAGTATGTGTGGTAGACATGGGCAACGAGGCGAGTTAAAAGCTCGACTCGTTTACAGTACTCGTTTTCGGCGAGACCGCACAATTACAGACGGAGATTAAGTTCTTTTGGACACTCATAATTTGGACCTTTCTCATCTATCCTAAGCAAATTTGTCCACGTTTTTGTGGTCTTTTCCACGTTGAGTTGATGAGGACACCTATTATTTTCCGCTTACGCTTACTTGTTACATGGAAGATTCACAACGACTTCCATGTACAACTCTTGAAGCCCTACAAGGACCTGAATCAACAGTACCAGGGACGCCAGCTACCGCCGCCACCACCTGTTCTTACACAGGATGAACCAGAGTATGAGGTGGAACGTGTTATCGCGCACTGACATCGACGGCACGGCACGCTCAAGCTCCTAATTTGTTGGAAAGGTTATGATCATTCAGACTACAGTTGAGTGACAGAAGCTGACATGGGCGACGCACGCCGAGCTCTCAGGAATTATTTTGTCAAGCAGGGTGTTTCTCATACAACCCAGCAGAAAACGTCGTCCGTTCTGTCACAAATTTCTATTTCTATTATCAAATTTGTTTTCTGCACTCCTTTCCTATCCGTTTACCAACCTATTTTATATTTGACATGTTTATACGAAATAGAATTGTGTGCACCGTTTTAGAATTATCTCGAGAGTGACCTTGCGTGTGCGTGACTTTGCACCAAATTCCTTTACCGATTCGAGAAGTCTCTATTCCAGCCTGTTCTATAGCCTCGGTACCTTCTAGTAATACCTGGATACCTCCACTGTACCGTGCCTAAATATAGCTACGTATTTGTACCCATGTTCATGATTGACTATCAAAGTAAAGTCTCGATCTTCTCACAACTGCACTCCTTAAAACCAGACACTCACTTCTTGGCGACTTTGGTCTTGAGGTTGCTGGCAGCAGCAGCCACTCTCAGCCGCCCCGACCCCGCTTGCCCCAGCATGCCGTACCCCTCGCCTAGCCCGTCTCCCAGCGTTGATTGCTCCTCCACTCCAAACTGCATGCGATTGGCTAGCTTTCTCATGTCCGTGATGCCGTAGCTGTAGTTGGAAAGAGGTGGGGATGGGTGGAGAATGGTAGGATATACTAGAAGGCGAGCAAATGCCTTAACATGCCGTACCCCTCGCCCAGCCCGTCCCCCAGGGTCGATTGCTCCTCCACTCCAAACTGCATGCGATTGGCCAACTTCCGCATGTCCGTGACGCCGTAGCTGAAGTTTGAGAGGGGGAGTGGGAGAGAGAGAGGCGGGTTAGTACTGCACCCCTCGCCTACCAGAGTCGACTGCTCCACTCCGAACTGCATGCGATTGGCCAGCTTCCGTAGCTGTCAGTGGGGTTGTGTGTGGGGGGGGGAAAGGGGGTGGGGGGTTGGGGTGGAAAGGGGTTGGGGCGAGGGGGTTATGTGTGAATGGGGGATAGGAGATTGACTGGCCAGCTTGCATACTCACTCCTCTCTCTCCCCCTCCCACCCACCCACCCACCCACTCACTCACCCAATCACCCCCTCTCCCGCTCACCGTTCCTTCATCTTCCTCAACCGTCACCCCCCTCTCCTCTTTTTTGGTTCTGCATCCGGCACGGGCAGTGGCTTGGGCTGCTTGGCGGGTGGCGGCTCCTGCCACTTGTCAATCTTCCTCTCTATCTCCACCCGCAGGCCCCGTCCCGCTCCCCTCCCCCCTCTCTCCCCCCCCCCCCCCCCCCCCCCCCACCACCTCCCCGTAACTCGCGTCCACCCGTGCTGCTAGTGTGCAACCCCACACAGACACACACTCCCTCCTTCACTCTCTCACTCACCCACTCACTCCCTCCCTCGCTCCCTCACTCACTCCTCAACTCACCGCTCCTTCATCTTCCGCAGTCGTCTCCCCCCGCGCCTCTTCTTGGGTTCAGCATCTGGCACAGGCAGTGGCTTGGGCTGCTTGGCGGGGGGCGGCTCCTGCCACTTGTCAATCTTCCTCTCCATCTCCACCCGCAGCCGCCGCCCCGCTCCCCCGCTCAGATCCCCGTGAGTCGCGTCTACTCGCGCTGCCAAGGCGCATTTCCCCGCGACAAGGCGGGTGGCGCGCATGCGGAGAGGGGGAGGGGTGGCCTGGACGACCTCGCAGTGGAAGAGGAAGCCGGTGTGCGGCAGAGAGGTGGCGGTGGAAAAGCCCGATAGGGTCTTCCTCTTGCTCCCGAGCACCTGGTAAAGGTGTGAGAGGGGATTGAACGAAAGTGAAGGGGAGAGATGGACATGCAAGAGAAGGAGGGGAGTGGTGGCTTGGACGATTTTGCAGCGGAAGAATGAGCCGGTGTGGGTGAGAGAGGTGGCTGTGGAGAAACTGGATAAGGCCTTCTTTCTTTGATCCCAGGAGCTAACAGTGAAAGGGAGGCGA